CCTGAGTCAACACAGCTGACTCAGGAATTCTGGGAGTTAAAGTCCACGAGTCATAAAAGAGCCAAGGTTGCCTACCCCTGCCCTAACATAAAGGCACTGTCTCTCTCTGTATTAGACATCTTTCTATTACTGAGCCTATTAGTAGAAGGGCCAAAATTATCTTACACCTAACCTATATTACAAGAGAATCTTCCAAAACTGCAGGACAGAAAATATGGAACAAGGTCTAACTTTGTAAGTATAGGAATTCTCAGTGTTTTCTTCCCAGTAATGTGAACAGAGGGATTAAACACATTTGCAGTGGAAGATAAGATTACAGCAAGCAGGTTTAATTCTTCTCCTTCCTTCTGCTGCTTCTCCCCACCCACTTGCTCTAAGTCTGTATTTCTCCCAGCCAAAGAAATGTCAGATCTTGTTTCAAAAGAACCTAAGGCAACTAAAAATAGAGTTAGGCCGTAAGCTAACAATTGAAATCATTACTTGCATATTAAAACTAACTTCTAAAACAGCAGCATCAATAGTAGACACCAGCAAAATACATATTTGCTCTGTATTTCTTTCCTTTGCTGTGTGTATACACATATAAATCAATACAAATACAAATAAATCAATTAAACAAACAACTAAGATCACGTCAGTAAAAAGACACTTACAATCCAAACTACTTCCAAAAATAAATATATTCACCATCATCTCAAAGACCATTACAGAAGAGATGAAGTTGATTTTGCTTAGAGGGACAAAGCAGAATGTAGAAGACAATAATTCTGAAAAGGCAATTTTTCTTTTTCCCAAAAGATCTATTTTTGGCTTCTTTGGAATGTACCTAAGGGTTCAGAATTATTTACTTAAGGTTTTGAAAACTGCATCTTTGTCAAAAATTTGGTTTCAGGGTTGTGCATGTAACCATTTAAAGATGATTGTCAAATATTAAAAACAAATAATAATAATAAAAGCAAATGGCTGAAAAGTTAAGCTTCTAGTAACAAATGTAAGGATTGACCAGTCCTGAAGCAAGTTTAAAAAAAGTTTAGCCTGGTGGCGAAAGAAATGCAGGACCAAACATAGCTTTATTGACAGTGCATTTAAAAGTTAGGGTCCCATTCTAGACAAGTACTTTGTTGTACATCTATAATGCACTTCTTACATCCCCAGCACCTAAAGAAGTGCAGTCTGGTTGATTAAAAAAAACAATCAGAAATTTGTTTACACCTTTTTCGACAAATAAACTTTATTAAAAAAGCTTTTACATTAGCCAGTCTATGCATCTGAGAAAGTAAGCTGCTATTCATGAAAGTTTATGCCTTTTAATAAAGTTTGTTAGCAGGAAAAGGTACTGATTAGTTTCCACCACAGACTAGCCTGGTTCTCCTCTTACGAAGTCTGGCTGATGCTCAGGTAAGAGAAGACAATTCTTCAGAGATTCCACTCCTAGGTTGTAAGTGGCTACACCTTTTGCCACAAACAAATTGGGAGCTTTAGACTAAGTGGTCAAAAAGCAGACAGGAAGGAAGGATTCAAGTGAAAGTGAAATAAATAGGAGAAAGTTGAAAGCATTCTACTCCTCCTAAGTAATTTCCTCCCCCTTGACTGCACAGTGGTTTCATGCACTCTACACATTATTGGGAATCTTGTTTGTTGTTTGGAATGTCTCATTTCAGGCTGTGTTGCAGCTATAGAATGAAACCACATTAAATTTGCAGTTTGATTCATGGTGATTAAAATTAAGCATATTGGTTGTCTCAAAGATTTTCTATATGAGGTTTCCTCTGCAGGTAGTCTTAAAAGCTTCATCTGGTCCAGAATTCTAGTAATTTGGGGAAGAGGTGGTAGAAGACAGAGTTGCCATTTTAGAACTGGCATGCTTCCCGAAACCATCTAAAATAGTCATCATAAGTGAACCCAACATTATTCAAGGAACATATATTCCTATATTTATTCCTGTGCCCAATCAAATAAGGTGAGGAAATCTTGCTATTCCTCCAAGTAATGAATAAGCTTATAATGTCTCAAATGCTGCTCTTTGGGAATAGAGCTTGTTGGTTTTCTGTGCTTTTTTTTTTTGGTAAGGACAGATAATGAACTAGTAATAATAAATAACATAAGCACACATACTTTACAGGCAGATTCCTAGAAATACATAAACCGTGAAAGAAAAGAAAATATAGAATGGCAGTCAAGTGAATGAAATGGGCTTCTACATTTCACAGAGACTCTGCTTTTCAAAGGCTGCTTTGTTGGTGATCTTCCAGCCTTGATCTCACTTAAATCAAAATGCTCATCACACAGCAATGAAATTTTCCTATATGGGATGAGCTAATAGCAGGAGTCATAAGACAACCAACAGTGACCAATTCAATCTGCTTACGAAACCTAAGTCTCTGCCCTAGATTTCCTGAACACTTCTGTATCAAGAAAAAAAGGAAATGTGATTTGCTTGCCAAAATGGCATTTTCATTTTGCTTTCATGTCATGAAGTTTGAATTGACAGATTGTGTCTGCCTGATCTGTGGGGCTCTTTCTGGACACCGTTTACAAGAATCACTTGGAAGCAGATGAGAGCCTCAATACTGAACTGTTTTCACTTCCACATTATGTATGACATTATGTATGATATATTTAAGAAGAATGAGAGAAACACAGCGTGTTGCTATTTTTCCCTTCATAAGCATGTCTGTATTGTCAGTGCAAAAAAAAATGACAAGGCAGTTGTGATAATAATGAGGATCATGAAGATTTTAGTTGTTGGACTATTAAGAGAGCTATGTACATAATGAGAGCCAATTTGATGTAACGATTAAGGCATCAGGTTAGAAACTGTGAGTTCTAATTCAGTCTTTGGTTACCCTTGGGCCAATCACCTTCTCTCAGCCATAGGAAGGAGGCAATGGCAAGTCTGCTTGCTCAGGCAGTCTCTGAGACTGAAAGAAAGAAGAAGAAAAAAGATTGGAGGCTAAAACATATAAGGAATGGCTGTTGGAATTGGTCACCATGATGTAAAAAAGATGCTGAGACTCTAGAAAGAGTACAGAGAAGAGCAACAAAGATGATTAGGGGACTGGAGGCTAAAATATATAAGGAATGGTTGCTGGAATTGGGTATGTCTAGTTTAATGAAGAGAAGGAGGAGGGGGGACAGGATAACAGTATTCCAATATCTCAGGGGCTGCCACAAAAAAGAGGGAGTCAAGCTATTCTCCAAAGCACCTGAAGGCAGGACAAGAAGCAATGATGGAAACTAATCAAGGAGAGAAGCAACCTAGAACTAAGGAGAAACTTCCTGACAGTTAGAACAATTAACCAGTGGAACAACCTGCCTCCAGAAGCGGTGAATGCTCCAACACTGGAAGTTTTTAAGAAGAGACTGGACGGCCATTTGTCCGAAATGGTATAGGGTTTCCTGCCTGAGCAGGGGGTTGGACTTGATGACCTCCAAGGTCCCTTCCAACTTTATTATTATTATTATTATTATTATTATTATTATTATTATTATTATTATTATTATTAAAACAAATATACATAATACTATATAGTTATCTTGTTCATCGAGATTTGAAAACTTTGTATTTATTTTTAAATAACTTTTAAAGTTGGTCTTAGAATGGAATTACTGTTCATTAGATTATTTTACGTATTTTATTGCAGTGATCTTAGATTAAATGCAAATAAAAATCTTGAGAGACAACCAATAAGATACCAAACTGTCCATATTTACTGACGCTAAATGCCAATGTAGGTCAGAAAATGGATTTTCAAGACCTATAGCAGCTAGACATAGATCCAAGACCTAAAGCAGCATCCTCCAATGAAGCAAGTTGAAATATTTAATTTGTGAAGCCGCTATGATTCTAAATAAGGGGTTATCCTGAACAAACTTCTGTCCATTTGTTGAAGATATAATGTGCCATTCTCAGAGTGTTGTCTCACTCAACGAGATCTGAGAATGTGGCAAATGCAAAAGGCATTTTCTCTGATGTTTGCAACACCAGGGTTTCTCCTGGTTTGTTCAAGATGGGATCTTTCATCTAATCATCTTGAAATAAAATGCAATGTTTATTTATATGAGGGGCAGTGAGTAGAGATGGAATGGGACACATACTGATTTATATCTTATGCTTCAGAAACCCAGCTACAAGATCAAAGCAACCTCTCTTATTTTTCCAGCAAATGTGAAGTAAGCAGGGCTCCAGCTTTACAATGAAAATTTTCTTTACCCTGAGATATAAAGAAGCAAACTGTTCAGTCTTGGTTGAGAAAGTATGAGTATACCCAGTCTAAGAAAGATAACACATGTGGGGTCTTTGTGCTGCCTCCCACCCAGGATCAGGCTACCCCCACCCCTACCTTCAACTTAGTACTAAATCCAACTTAGAACTAAATTGCTATCTTTCCCCAAAGCCATCAAGATGAAATTAGTTCTATTGCAGGGCGACAGACACTGAAAAATAATTTTATCCAGTTTGGAACAGACATTTGTGGTTACTGTCAATAGTACTGCTTTATTTTAATAACCATTCATTGAATACATTATGAATTATTATAGTAAGCAATAATTTCTGTACTTATTTATTTAGTAAAGTTACAATTGTATAAATATACAGACACATATAATAAATAACAAATAACACATATAAATAAAATAACAATATATAGACATACATAATAAATAAAATAATACCGGTAATACTATTACATAATTATAAATTTATAAATAAATTTAATTATAATTATATAATTATAAATTTATATAACAGTAATTATACAGTCTATAATGTATTATATAATTACTGTTAAACTTTGGTTCACTTTTCGTTTTAATTGCAATAGCATTTCGTTACTTGCCACTGTCCTCAATCGCCTGCTTCTTCTGCTGATTGCAAAGAGCGCGCGCGACTCCAGCGCCTCCTGTTGCTCGGCCGACCGAGAGTCAGGCTGACGAGTTGATTGCCAGCCGCGCGGCTTCGATCTGCTAATTCCGCCATATCTGCAAGGGTGTCTCGTCGCAGGCCGAGCAATGGATGGGTGAAAGGAAAGATGGCGGAGAAGGCGCAGAAAAGGTAAGGGGGCTGGGTGGCCAAGCCTCTTGCGCGATTAATCTCTGAAGCCTTCCCCCATATGAGTTATTTTCTTTAAGACTGTTGCTTGGCTCCGTTTTTTTCAAGGCTACAGTTGTGTGTGAGTGTACAAAAGGAACGCCCAGTTCTTTACAATCGACCGTTGTTGCTACTAAGCTGCTGCAATAAGGGTGCAGCAGCTCCTCTGAAAGAAAAAAGAGGAGGTCGGACCTGCCTATAAATATCCGTTTTCAATAAACCCGCCAATAATTCAGTCCAGTCGGAGAGGACGGACAGCGGGAAATAGCTTCTCCCCACGCCACTCGAGAAAGCCTTACATACAGCTGTTCGTTTCGTGTTTTTATGTTTCAATTTCGGATGTCGCTGTGTACAGGAGCGTTGATGATTTCTGGAAGGTTTCCAGTTTGCTGAATATCTTGAACAAAGCCTTGCATTGATTTTGTTTTTGTTTTTTACGTTTCACTGAAATCTTTTATATTAGAAGAAGCCAAGCCATCTTGTGGATATTCCTAAATAGTTCTGGTAGAAAATGAGGAATGAATGAGAATGGAAAGACTTGACTGTGAAAGTGTGTTGTTGTTTTCCTACTATTTAATATTATTCAACATTTTTCCTAAGTATTTTAAGTGCTTGGCATTCATCAGCTTAGAAATTCTTAAAACAACTATTAGGCTTGAGTATTAATATTATGCTTGACAGGTCGGAGGCTAAGGAGATGAGCTAAAGCTTCCCATTGTTTTTTACGATGGACACCATTTTAATAGTGTGAGACTAGGAGCTGTTTTGTCAATGACAATATATCTCCATGTCTAGTGTTTCGACTAGAACTGCAGTTAAGGCAGTATTGTGGTTTCTCAATAGTGACCTAGCAATTTTTTATTACTGACAAAACAGCTGCCTACCCTCAAACTGTCAATTAAACTTAAACTGTCATTGCAGGCAATTATTGGTTAATAGCTGTGATACAGAATCTCAGGTTACAGAATTCCTTCATTTTGGGACTTTTAAACTATTACTGAGCATTTCTGTGGCTCAGGATCGACTCTTTTCATTACTGTTGTTTCGTACACTTTCCCCCCTCTGTACAGTCAGATAGATAGAGAGCTTTCTATCCTTTTTTAAAATATATTTCCAAGGATCTGGAACTGTCTGACAGTGATGAGCCCATGCCAACCATTGTTACTGTTTCTGTATATGTCTTTTCTAGTGTGAAGATTGCTCCTGGAGCTGTTGTTTGTGTGGAGAGCGAAATCAAAGGAGATGTGACTATTGGTAAGAGAAAATAATTTTATAGAACAATACAGTTGGATTAGCACAACATACTTAACTTGATTATTGAATTAACTGAGGTATCACAATATTATTGGATTATTAACAAATCGTCTATGGTTATACAGTGTGCTAAGCCACAAAAACTAATCAAGGTTAAAACTAGCAAAGCTTAGAAATAGTACTCCTTTTAGGTATGTGAATAACTGGTGCTGCTCTAATAGTCAATTGTTCAGGAATGTGATTGATCACTTGTTAGTTTAGCGAAAAATGATGCTTGCATCTGCACTTTTTGCCATCTTGCTTAATGCTGCTGCTATAATTCTAGTTCTAAACCCTGTTTATCATTCATGTTGCCCTCTCAAGAAATGTGGATAACTATCTAAAATAAAAAAGTTTTTTAGATTCAAATGTTGATTCAAATCAACATTGCAATAGAAATGTTGATGAAAAGTTGCAGTAAATGGTTGTATGATAATTATTGTGATTCTTCTTTTAATGTATAAGTTACACCCATTTAAAAAGTATGGAGAGGGCTGGCAGCAGTCCTATGTTGATTGAAGCAAATTGGTATTTTCAGATGAATTTATACTCAGGATAATATACTTCCTTGAAATACATGATATATAAGCACCATAGCAATAAGTATTTTTTTATAGGACCTAGGACAGTAGTTCATCCCAAAGCCCGAATCATTGCAGAAGCTGGACCAATTGTGATTGGGGAAGGTAATCTCATAGAAGAACAGGCAATTATCATTAATGGGTTAGTATAATTTCATCAACTTTCTTAAGACATTTATTCATTCATTCCACTTGCATGGCCACTCAACCTATAGCAATTCTGGGCAGTATACAAACAAATGAAAAACAATCATAAAAAAAATTAAAAACAGAACAAATTGAATAGAGATGCTAATCAGTATAACACCACACTTCTTAGGGCTCACTCAATACTCTAGTCTAGGCCAATGCTCAAGTATTGCCAAGTCTTAAGAACCTTATGAAACTTCATAGGGTCAGGGCTATTTGAATCTTGAGAGGCAGTCTGTTCCACCGGGTTGGCACTGTGACAAAGAAGGTGTACTGCCTTAGTCACAACAGATGGCATTGCTTGATGGAAGGGATCAGGAACATGCCATCTCTGTTGGATGTAATAATCTATTCCTGTGGCATCATATATTGATTGTATTCACTCAGGTAAAAATTGGCAGCCTGTAGCCATTGAAATAGTTTCATACTACCTTTAGCATAAATTTCTTCTTTTTTTTTTTCAATGTACAATAGATCTTCAGATCTCTGATCTTACCAGAGAAAAAAATTAGGATTTGGGAAATATTAATTGTAACAAATACCATAAATTCAGTGAATTTGAAAATGCTACGCATAAAAAATATAATGAATTCATTGAATTTGTACTGCAGAAATTGATTGCTGAAAGTTCTATTCATTTGATGACCAAACATTTTTAGTATTGCCATCATGAGTTAAATGCAAAAGCAAAAACATGTCTGAAACAATAAGATAACCATTTGAAGCTTTCCCGATTAATATAGAGAATATTCCTGCATAGATCTACATAGATCCTGTCATTGATTTATATAAAATATGTAAACATTGTTCACTCTAGGGAAGTATTTTGAATCACTCTATTGAATGAGGGTTCATAAAACTGAAGTTTAAATTTAAATTTTCCTGTAAACCTATTCCTAGTTTAGTTTTCCATAGCATATCTTTGAATCACTATATTATGATTATTTTGTCAAAACATTCTTGCAAAATGACATCTGTCCCAGTATTCTGGAAGAAATTTGATTGACAATTAGGGAGTCTGGTTGATGTAGAATAGCAGCTTAATGAAAAGGTTCAAGTTAGTATCAAACTTTAAAGATAAAATTCTTGGTTTTAAGGGTATGACATGCCTGTTTTTAAATACAAAAATGTTAAAAACACCTTTTCCATCTCTACAGCTATCCTGAAAACATTATTCCTACTACAGAGGAAGCAAGAACCAAACCGATGGTCATTGGCACTAATAATGTGTTTGAAGTTGGCTGTTGTATCCTTTTGAAGAGTAAATTAAAAGATTAGAAATATATATATGCATTTAAGTATCATATAAGCAGTAATGGTTATATGGTGCAAATAATAAAAGTATCGGTGATGTAGTCTTAGATCCCTAATTTGTGGCTAAAGAGAATTGGTTGGGATGTGTATTATTTGCTGTTAAGCACTGATTAATCATAATTGATTTTTGTATTTAGTGGCTTCAGTAAAACAGATAAAATGTTATTAGTTATTATTATTTTCCCACACTTTGTTAATTCAGTAGAGAGAGAAAAAATCTCACTGATTCATTGCTGCCGAATTAATATCAGTTTGTGACAAACATAGCATAGGATGCTTTTTAAGTACATTGTCCGAGGTTCATTATAGCTTTTGACTAAATGAAAAAAATAGGGAATATTATTTCAGATTCTTTTAAGTAGTAGTAGTAGCTATAAAGTTAGGGTGATGCTCTCCAGACTCTTTCCTGAAGGCAAAGGAGCTACAAAAGATCTCCTGCTGTATTAGGGAGAACTGGGAATATAGGAAACATGCAGGCAAATATTCTTAACCATGGCTTGCAGATTCTGAAGCAATGAAAATAGGAGACAACAATGTAATTGAGTCGAAAGGTAAGTATCTGATGTTGATTTTGTACAACTTTAGAATAAATAGGAATATGGCAATCATACTTTTTTATAAATATTTTATTAATTTTCTAATTTTACAATCATGAGTACTTAATAACCATGTGTTGTCTGGGTCTGTTGGTAATTCAGTGGTACATATTAACTTTCTCAAGTCTAGTTCCAATACTGCACCATCCAGTGCTTTCTTGGTCCTCTATTCTGGTGGTATGCATTTTTCCACACTGGGCAAATACAATTCTTGTTAGTGTTAATACATATACAATTAAATATAGACATCTTCATCACATTTTTCTGGTATTATACATAATATGGATAGTGTCGGTTTATAATATCTTTTCTAGCCAGAACATATCTCAGTTGTATTTGCACTTAAAATCCATTGTTCAATTAATATTCTGTTTTTCACGCTTTTTTAAACTTTTAATTTCCCGTCAGTGTTCAAAATATCTCTATCACTTATAATTTTCTCATAATAAATTATATTTGGGTAACCAAAAGCTTTGCTTATTCAAACCCTTTTAAAATTTTCGTATTTCCCTTCTCATAACAAAGTATAATATTCCAGTTACAAATCCTATCCTAATTATAATTTATTTCTAACAGTTATCTATTTTTTAACCATATTCAAACATCTGTTTAATAGTATAATATCCCATCTAATAGGTCAAAATCTCTATTTTCTTCGGTCTTACTCTAGCTTTCTTCCTTTGCCAAATAACTTTCCAAGTCAGTACACTTGAATCATCAAGTAATTCTTCCTCTGTTTTTGTATATATTGTTTGGAATGAGGAAGAGAATTTGATTGAAGTATTTTTGGAAGAACGCTCAACCCATTTATATTCACTAAACAGCCTCCGTCCTTCTTCAGTTTTTTTTTTCATTTCTTGTTTGTCAATATTCAGCATTTCTCCTAACAGCTTTATCATCCATTTGATCAGCTCTTCTTCCTTATCCTCAAATGTGTTTTGAGATCTTGACAAGTAAGATATCTTTTCCATTTCCAGTGTTATTACTGCATCTTCTAATTTTTTATTTGTCTATATCTGTTAATTCCTTCCTTTATGTCCTCCGTCTTTGGATCCGTTTCTTCTAATTTTCCTTCTGTTTTCTGGATTACTAGTTCCTTCTTTGTAGTCATTGTCTGGATTAGTAAGTTTAGGTTAGAAAATTGTTCTTTTATCTCATTTGCATTATTTTTAATCTCATCATGAAATAAAACAATTGTGTCTTGGATTGATTTCAACATAGAAAGAATTTCTTTCTGAGATTCATTAACATTTTCTTGCTGGTATATCAAACTGGGAGCTTCGGAGACAAGTGTTAAAGATGATTTTTTCCCATTTGCGGCTAAGTATGGAACACCCATTTTGTTTTTGTATGTAGTCTTTATAGATAAGCAGCCCAAGAGGGTTTTTTTTCCCCTTTTCCCAGCTGCAGTCTGTAAAAATGAAAGTTTCCAGGAACAACAAAGAATCTTATCTAAGTCCGGGCTTCAACCAAGTTTCTTTTAAGCATAATAAATTGTAGTGCTATGATTCGCCACTAGATGTCGGTGACACCATCTTCCAGCTTTCCAAATCCAAGCCTATTTTACAGACTTTCAAATATCTTCTAAAAAAAAAAAAGTCTCAAAGGTACTTTTAATCCCCAAATTTCAAAGCTATATATCTGTATTAATTCCAAATTGATCTTGTAGTTTTCTCTATTTTCCCCCAAAGCAATTAATTCACCGATTTTCTTTTCCTGGGGGAGCAGGACAAAAACTTCCCTTCCCTCTCTCATTGGGGAGGATTCTTTGCTTTGGGCATTCTTTTTTCCAGGAAAGTAGTATTAAGGTCGTAAAAAGAGGATAAAGTCTCACCCAGTTCTATCCACATTGCTCAAAAATTGCTAGTTAGTGCTTATCTTCGGTTGTCAGCAGCTTCTGACTGGCCACACAAATGTAGCCAGTCTTTCCCCCGCTGGTTTGGAGGGCTTCCACAGATCCAGTGGAACGGCCGCTGCCCCTCCACGATTGACGAGGGTCCCCTCCGTTGCCTCTCTGGGGCGACTTTCGACCCTTTTTAGGGTCCCCAGCGGGGCAAAATCGAACGTGGAAGATGGAGCCCCGTCTTCCTGCGTCTGTCACGCTGTGATGCCTAACCGGAAGTCGGAATATGGCAATCATTTTTATTAGTTTAGTTTCCAGATAAAATGAAATTTAAACATAATTACAAAGGAGTATAAATAATATAATTATTATGACACAGCAATATCAATAAAAAATATAAAACATTATTGCCTCAGTGGTTGAATACAGCCCATCTTCGAAGCATTTCAAAAGAATAAGGCCCTCACTATCATTTGCAAGCCTATAAGAATAGCCCCCCACAATGCACCTCACTTGGGAGGAACAATAGTTAATAGTGGAGTAGTGCAACAGAAGAAAAATATAGAAAAATTACCTGCTTTGCACTGACAATATATTGGAAGAACCAAACCGGGTATGCTGTAAAATGATGCTAGGCAGCCCATGGATTGCACATAGCATTTAGCAAATACCATTGCAAATGCCATTCTGGCACATTTCCCAGCACAAGGCTAATTATTTATTTAATTTGCTATGTCACCACTGAAATGAAGGCATGTGTGCTTCCTGGAGGCCACTTAATAACAATAGCACTTAGACTTCTATACCGCTTCACAGTGCTTTATAGACCTCTCTTAAGTGGTTTGCAGAGTCATCATATTGCCCCCAACAATCTGGGTCCTCATTTTACAGACCTCAGAAAGATGGAAGGCTGAGTCAGCTTGAACCGGTGAGACTCAAACTGCCGAATTACTGGCAGTCAGAGATTGGCAGAATCAGCCTGCAGTACTGCATTCTAACCACTGCACCAATCATCTAATTAGTAGTCTGCCAGGAAATACGTATGATTACATAGGGCAGTGGTTCTGAACCTGTGGTCCACAGACCCCTGGGGGTCCACGATGTCATCACAGAGATCCAAGAATGCTTGAAGAAATGTTACGATTTAAATCTTGAGATAAGTCTTGGTGGTCTGTGGCCCTGGTCCATGGCCACCAAAGGTATTTAAAGGAGGTCTATGGTGAAGAAAACATTGAGAATCACTGACAGGGAAAGGATGCTCAACCACTGCATAGTTGTTCTCTTGCAGACTGGCAATGAGATGATTGATAAATTGCCCACAACTTCCACAGCAGATCGAGCCATAACCAAAACAATTCTATGGTCACAGACCTGTTCCCTTGGGGAGGAGTGCCATCCCACCCAGAGTTGGAACCAATGCAGATAATGAGCCACGTGGTTTCTGGACAAATAGTATCTCCATCGAATTAGGAGGATTTTATCTTACTCTGGACCTACAGCCTCTAGTGTAGGATCATAATATTTCTGGTCTGGCTCAGGATGGAGATACATAATTAAATATCATCTGTGTACATTATGCTGCCTGCTATCATGGTGTAGAAACTTTGTTCTCTGCTACTAGACAACTCATCAGCTAACTGCCTGAGTTCTAGGAGAAGAAGAGTGGCACAGTGGCCAATCAATATGTGCCTGCACCTATGCATTTACCCCACCATTTGGAAAAACATTGCCTAAACACAGAGAAGACTGTAGACTTAAAAGATGTGTCTCTCACACATACAAATGCCTCTTTGCTCTGGCTCTTGCATATCTCTGTCAGGGTCACCTTTCTTACTCTCTACATCTACAGCATTTGTTGGTAGAAATGTGATCCTGACAAGCGGCTGCATTATCGGTGCCTGCTGCAATGTCAACACATACGAAGTCATCCCTGAGAACACTGTAATCTACGGAGCGGACTGCCTTCGTCGAGTGCAAACTGAGCGGCCACAGGTGGGTAGGCGACAAGCGTAGGGCAGGGCAGCTTGAGTTCTTCAGTCACCAGATTGCCCGATTTGTGGAGTGTGATTTTACCAATCCAGTCAGTGAGCAGAGCCCTGAAAATTGTGCACTTTGTGATTTGTATCCCATTCATATCCTGTTGATAAAGAGTTCCTACTTTGAGCTCAGATTTAAGCAAAAGAGGGGGGAGACGTCAAAATCTGGGCAATATAAGTAGCACTAGATAGAGAAGATTGTGACCAGACAGTTTGGTCTGAGGGTCCAGTTGAAATCATCGGAGAGAGGAGCATCTCTCTTTCTTCCCTTTTCTTTTACAAATCACCATCATCTTTTGTGGATGATCAATCTCTATTACTCCAAGGATATGGGACATGCTGTTTGATAAAAGAGTTTTGTGACTTTTGTTAATGACCTATGATTTCAGATAAACAGGCAAACTGATGTTAACTCAGCTTATGTTGTCACTTTGCAGTGTTTTTTTTTATAGTAAATTCACTATAGTTTGTGAATTTACATTTCATAGAAAAACAGAAACCTGCTTTTAAATCATGATTCTGGTTTCCTAGCTTGCTGAAGAAGGAGCCAGAGTAGCCAAGGATCAGATGATGAATGACAACTGACACTCATGTCCATATTCAGACCTAACCAAATAGCTTTTCAGTCCTATCTTCTTCCTCAGTATGAAACAATGGAGAAGAGCTTCAGCATTTCCTCAGTTACTGCATAAGGTGTGGAGAACTGAAGTAATTTTGGGAATGTTGTTGAAGCCATCATTGCTTCATAGAAAAAGAGTGGCTTAAAATATGTCTTATATTTGTGAGGAAGACATTGGTGTTGTGTCCTTTGAGAGAACGGGAGATTGGAAAACAAATTTTCTTAATAGGGATTGCCCTAAAACAAGTCAGTCCCTTGATCAATGTAACCTAATGATTTCAGCACAGATTGGTGATAGTTAACCATACATTTTAGGCAGGAGTTTTCCAGCTAGGAAAACTGAATCTCTGAAAGGTTGATTGTGTGGCATTGTCCATGAAAAAAGCTATCACGTCTATAATGCTGAGTTAAAGCCTTCTCTTCAAGTCATTGGACAGCTAGATATATTGCATTTCTGTACCAAAATAAGCAATTGAGTCTTCCTCAAATCTTTTGGATTACAATTTCTATAATCTGTGAGCATTGGCCATGCTGATGGGGATATATGGAGATTGTGATCCAATTGCTTCTTCTAAGCAGATGCATTTGGATTCATGTATATTTTTCTAAGATTGTGCTATTCCTTTTAGCCACAAACATTACAGCTGGACTTCCTCATGAAAATCCTCCCAAATTATCATCATCTTAAAAAGGCTATGAAAGCAACATCAACACCTGTGAAGAGTTGAAAGCCTTCCTGGATCATGATCAGAATTATATCAGAGATGTACTACCTTCTTTCTGGACTTTATGTTTGCAAGAACTAACTTTTTTTGCTTAGTCTGGAAATTTAGTCATGCAGTTATGCAGCTTAATTTTATTTATTAAAATGTAAAAAATAAATTGTGTCATTGTTAGATTCCCCTTGATAGTTTATATTTTTAGTGGATTTAATTATCTTTATTGCCTGTTTTTCCTTGTTAATGAAATCAGGATGACCACTCATTTTCCCAGTAAACCTGACCCAGAGCCTGTTCCTTGGAGGCAGTGGAAATAGTCCAGTTCATTTGGAAGGTAGCAGAGTACTGCACAAAAAGAAGAGCTTAAAAAATGACTTCTTAATTTCAGTAGATATATTTTAAATTACTGCATATCCTTAGTGCTTTCATTAAATAATTGAAATTGTATATATAACTTCAGACAAGGTCAAACAAATGTGTAGCTCATCTGGAGTTGATGTCATGAAGGCTTCATGTTGTGGCTTCAATCCAGACCTGCATGCTACATGTAACAGTGAAAAAAGATTCTGCTGTAAGAAATACAACATGCAGTGCTCTCCTGTGCATAACATTGCAATCCTACACTCCCTTGGGAATAAGCCTCACCAATCATAGTTGGGAATAAGCCTCACCAATCATAGTTGGGACTTCACTTTTGTATAATTTCCAGAGGTAAAACTTTGTTAATCGTTTTAAACAATATCATAGTCTTCATAAGGCTCTTGTTAGGATTACTGTCCCTATGTCAAGGTTGAATTTCTAAGATGCTTGCTAACCTCTGTTGCTACTCAACTTGCCATAGAAATGGGCAAGGGAGAGCCTAGGAAAGAAACGGGAGTTTCAAGAAGCCGTCCACGGACCCTGAGACCCAAGGTCACAAAAGCAGGTGTCTGACGGAGAAGTGGACCATTCCCATAACAAACAAAGAGATGTGATTGGGCAACATGGACATGGGGGGGGGGTTTATGAAAAACTATTGTTAACTAACCAGATTTTCGTGCAGGAAAACTAGAGTTGATTTTGCTTCTTCAGTACCGAGATGTGTATTCAATAAAATTTATCTTTTATGGCATTTCAAAACTAAAGATTCCTCAATGTTGACTTCGCTAGCCAGACGGTTGACACCCTGTGACTCTTCTCAGAACATATTAAACCATGAAATAATACAGAAAAAATAAGCATTTATAACCAAGTTAAAAACATTGTTAGCCTTTCCTCTAAACATACTGTGTGTGCAAACAAAGCTGTCACCCTTTTGACATGAAGATGTATGGAGCCACTGAAACTAGATTTTTCCTACAGTATATTCAGTGGTGTAAGAAAGCTCAGGAGATTGGCACTTCTCAAAGATGTTGAATGTCTTGTTTTTGCACTTCCCAATACTCTTCCTAAAAGCTTTTTAAACAGAGTTGTAAATAGTGTTTACATTTTTCAGTGTGTAGCAATGCTGCCCTTGCTATTTCTGAAGATAAAAGTGATTCATTTTCTTTTGGGAACAACTTGGAAGCATTTCTTAATGGCAATGTTTTTAACATGCAAAATGCATTTGAAGAAGTCTAGTCAAATCAAATATGTATTATAGTCATAGACCAACATGAGGATGGGCTATGGTCAATTGAAAAGCATAAAAAGTACATCCGAGTCTATAAAGGTGCTTTTTCAGGAGGCAAATGGACTTTCTTGTTTTCCTTTGAAGATGTTTCGCTTCTCATCCAAGAAGCTTCTTCCATTCCCCACCATCTAGTCAGAGCTGGAGAAGCTTCTTGGATGAGAAGCAAAATGTCTTCAAAGAAAAATAAAGTCCAGTTGCCTCCTGAAAAAGCATCTTTGGGACAACCAACACCTGGATGACTGAGAATCTCCATAGACATTTAGCTATGCACTTTAGGATGAACACCTCACCTTTGAATGGTGAGGAAGTATGAACGGATTTCCAGAAAATATTGCAGACTACAATAACCATTTGCGCTTCAGTTTGAGATGCAGACAACACAGACTCATCCCCAACAGCCCACGCCTGTCTTCAACAGTGAAGGGACAAGGCAGAAAACATCCTGCAGCCCCTTGCACTACTCGGGACCCTGAGGACACAGGTAAACCTCCAATGGCCTCAATGACTCTAAAAAGAATGCAAATGACCAGCTATCTGCAAGGAATATAAATCCTTCCATTCCCCACCATCCAGTCAGAGCTGAAGAAGCTTCTTGGATGAGAAGCGAAACGTCTTCAAAGAAAAACAAGGAAGTTCAGTTGCCTCCTAAAAAGCACCTTTGGGACAACCGTGACCTGAATGACTGAGACTCTCCATAAACATCAGAGTTTATGGAGTTTAGAAACATTTTCTAAAAGCTAAAAAAGTATTTAAAGTATATAAAAATTAGTCTAAAAAAGAAAATTAAGGTTTAGGAGCATTGTAGGGGAGCATAAAGGTTTAGGAGCATATGTAGGGGAGCATAAAGGTTAGTATACGGCAGGTTATCACAGTACAGAGTGTACTAGTGTGATGAACTGGATGCTCATGTAGTCTAATTTATGGCACCGTTCATCTGGTGTATTTTATTTGCTACTGGACAGAACCTGACAGCATTATATGTTGGGGCAGGATTGGTATCTGAAAGCAGCAGAGAGGTAATAGATTTGCCCTCTGCACTCTTGGTATTTGTGCAGTAATGGTGAAATGAGGCTAGTATGGTCTCTGTAATACAGGCACTGGAGAAGCACAGAAGTCTTGTCTTCTTCTGACTTCTCTCCAGAGTCACAGGGGCATTGTCTCTCTGGATAAGGAGTCTCCCTGTCTCAGCTTTCAAGGATAGCTGAGGGGAGGGTATGACATCAAGCCAGAATAAAGTTCCTCTGGAGTTTAGGTACTTTGAGATAGTTAAGTACCATATGTCATAGGGGAGGCAGAGTACCTGTTGGATTCACTGGCAATGAAGATGGAGGACCTGACTAGATCCAGTTGGCTTTGGGTACTTGTAATATGCTATGTGTTCACAGAAGATGAGACGCTGAATCTATAGAAATTGCAAGATTAAGTTCCCAAGTCCATGGTTCTTTTCCAATGAACACTTCTTTGCATAACCCTCATCTGCACAATATTCTTTCTCACTGGGTCATAGCAGATCTTGCTAGGGCACCCGAGTTACAAAATTCAGTATAGTTTCCTTGTAGAATCCTCCTTGACTAAACAAGAATATACACAGAAAGTACAGGAAAAAAGCAAAATGAATGTATTCAGATACCGAAAGACTTAAAACCTTATGTTAACATTGGAGACAGAGATGAGCTTGTTACTTTGAAAAAAAAGAAGTGGCATTTCAGAAACTAAATGTAGTTACAGCATGATGGTCTCACAATGGTTTTTTTAAAATTATTTTTTCAACATTTTAGATTATTTATTGTTAAGCATTGTTAATAAATAGAAGGGGTTATGTAATTATGTTTTGTGGACAAATGGAGATAATCATGGAAGACTGAAAAAAGGATATTTGGATTAAAAAACTGAACCTGACAGCTCATCTGAGAAAAGCACCTGATAATTGGTTGTATCATCAAATACCTACATATTCCAAACGGAAAACATCCTTTTGATAGTCCAAACCATGCAATTCTTAGATGCTTGTCCATGATACTACTGTTTTATGGACTAATTGAAAGCATTTGCCAGTTTCATGGGTAATCTGGCTGGGATGAGCTCAGGAATTTTATAATACAATTTCCTTGATCAGTAATAGGGAGTTGCCCCACCTAAGGCTCTTTCAAATGGCAATGGAGGAGGTCTCTTGGTCACATCTTTGCTACCCAAAGCCCACTCCCAACCATCAGAGCACACCATGAGCAGCCAGAGACATGTTTAAGACATCACACCTTGCCACAGGTCTACTGGCAACACTAGCCTCCAATGGGGACTCCTGATCCTGCTTGTACTGTTTACAGGCCGCTTGTAGCCTTAACATCTAGGAGCATAATTAGAAGCCAATCAATCACGGAGACCAGAAAGCCATCCAACATTGGCCATATGAATCCACAAAACTCCCTCCATCTCTAGCCAACCACTTGTTTCAAAGAAGAAGAGCTGCTTGAGAAAGCCAAGAGGAATCACACAACTGGATCGATACAAGGAGATGTTTCACATCCAAGCAAAATAAAGTGGAAGCAAACAATCCAACTCTTTTAAAAGATCAGCACTGAACTTTAAATGTGTCAAAAGCCTATCTGGTATTTGTACAAATGTGAAGTGATAAAAAAGGGCCAAACTTTGCATAGGCAAAACCTTTAGGCATATACAGCAGCTGGTTCTCTATTAGTTACAGATATGTGAAACCTCAGATTATTTTCCAAACCTCTGATACTTTTCTCCCCCAAACTGAATCTTTTGATTTTCATTTAATGTAACTTGGGCAGATACTCTGGCCTTATTCAATAGTTGTGTGTCTTCTTAAAACTGACTGCCATCTGATATTACTATATACTTGATCTTTTCTTTTAATAGCATTTGTTGAGTTCCAATTAAGGTGGTAAATTGCTTTGTTTCCTTAGTTTACAAATACATAAAATGGACAGTGTTCTGGAGAAGTAGAGAAGATGGAAGGCAGTGGCAAACTTGGAGAAGTTCATGAAGAATAAAAGTACTTTTTTTGTCCACAAAAATCTTTTTTGTGATACAGATGTGAAAGGTAGACACCGAAAAAGAATGAGAGAAAAAGGTAAATGCTTTCAATATATGGATCTGGAAACAGTTTCTAAGTGTGGCATGGATAAATCAATCAGTCAGTCCTGGACTAAGAAAATGTTGACTGCTACAGAGCATAAGAAAGATGACCTTGATGGAGATATATAGGATATATAGGAATCATTATTTAGACAAAAAAGGCTGGAGCAACTTTTATGTGCAGAGCTGTGAGATAACATCTGGAAATGCCTCAGGCAAACACTTCTCCAATTCACTCACTTATAAGAAGAGGAATAGATACAACACAATCAGACATTCAAGATTGGTGTTATTTTAGTCAGTTACAATAAAAGTAGTTTTAGCGTTCCTGTGAAGCTGATTTCATGGTGTTATACAGCTTGTGAGGGTTGACAGTGCTCCCTTGAAGCAATGAACAACTAGCAATAATTCACATACTTTTGGCCTGTGATGTGGGTAAGTTATTGGACTAGAAAAATAGCTATGGTTGGCAAGACTGAGGAAGGTAGAAAAAGGGAGACCGCTGATAAGGTGGATGAATTCAATCAAAAAGATTACACTAATTTTATTTACCTTGAAAGTGCTGCAGTTTATTGCTTGGAGACAGGCCAGAGTACTGTAGTGACTACAGCAGACATGTCAAACTCGCAATGTCACGTGACATCGCACGACGTATCGGGACTGTTTTGCCATTGCCGGCAATGGGGTGGGCGCGGCTTCCACGTGATGCGTCCCGCCCACGGGCCGGCAGTTTGACACCCCTGGACTAAAATATTTCTCCATACAGTAAACAGCAGTTGTGCATAACTCAATGGCATATAAGTAAACTTATATTATAGACAGCCCTTGGGTTAAGAACAAGTTCCATTCCTAGTTTTGTCTTTAACTCAAATTTGTAGTTAAGTCATAACTTGTGCTTATAAACAGACTGCCATTTACTAAAAATGGTGGACAGCATTGTCCTTCCTCTGGCTGATGAACCACTGAAGCCACACTATGCTTTCAGGAACTGCTGAAAATGGGCTGTATACATGTGGCTTCAGCAGTTCAGTGGCTCAAAGAAAGAGAACCACTGTTCACCATTTTTAATAACAGACAGCCTGTTCATATCTAGGGTTTGTCCTTAAGTTGGACATTCTTAACCCAGGGATTGCCTGTACATTCAGGAGAATGGTGAACACACTTTCTTTGAATAACAGAATTGGCTACCCCACCACTAGTTTTTATTGCTCTGCCCCATAGGAGAGCTGTGTACGTTCTATAACAATACTTTTTAAAATATGTTCTGTGAAACACTGGAGTTCCACAA